ACAGTGATGGTGAAAAAAGTCTCTTCGGCGCAGTTTGACGACGGGGGGGGGCATTTTGTACTTTTCCTTAGTTCCGGTTTACAAGTCTCACTCTGGCGAAACCTGTGAACTCTTGTGAAGCTGGAGCAAGCCCATCATGGTAAAACCTGTCAACTCGAGAAGAGGCTGTCTAGATAGGTCGACACGTCGATGGGAAGCAGCAAAAGGTGAATGCCCTCTCCCCTCCCTCCCCCTCCCCGTCCTCGAACTGCACCAGCATCTTCTATCAGTTGAGATAGTGATGTAACTTTCAAATTTCAGGGAAAAACGGGCCTGTACTAGTTACTGTAAACGCCTACATTAGAAGGTATGTTCAAGATATGAACTGTAGTGAATGCTCAATGAAGGGAGCTGGGGAACATTGAAGAGCTCTTATTTCAGCATGTCGAACATTGATTTCGTACGAATGCAGTACGGTGTACAAGTGACATTCCGGCAATTCTGGCACGATCCTCGCCTGGCGTACGAACAAATGTTCCCTGGTGTCAGTGTTCCCAAATTCATTATTATTACTGAGAAAAATCTCATCTGGACGCCGGATACATTCTTCTTGGTCTGTTGTTTAATTTCGTTTTTTCTGGACTGAAAAAACTGAAAACTGACTTCTGGTCCAGAACGAAAAGCAAGCCCATCGACACGAGATCGATAAATTGAACCTGATGATTCGAATTTACGCGAATGGCAGCGTGATGTCTTCGGAACGGCTTTCGTTCACATTTTCCTGTCCAATGTATCTGCAAGTAGGTTTTCAGTTCAGCTCAACAGTTTGCCTATCGCACATCTCCATTTCTCGAAGCGCAGATGATATAGCGACAAGTTGCTCTATTTGCGCACGGTCGTGGGATTCAAGGCTCGGGAATCGTGCCAACCATTCCTCCGTCGCTCCAGAATTAGCTAATCGGCAAGGCAAAGCCCACGATTGTTCGCCATCACAGATAGTCGGCTAGGGGTTTGCATATAGACGATAAGTTTCTGAGTAACTCGATAGTGAAGAAAAAAGCAGAAAAAACATGCCAACTGCCCTAGATAGAACCCCATTTTGATCCCAGTTTGTACGTGCCCAATTAACTCCATCTCCAACATTACGCCCTCCGCAGGCCTAATTCCCAAATAAAATCAACCACTGTACAAGTGACGATTTTCATGCTTTTTTGTCCTGCGTTTTCGTTTTTAAGTGAAAGTCGAGCGGAGTGACTGGAAAAAGGAGGCGTCTTATATTGTGATATAGCGCCCCTCTCTTACTATTCTTTGCCGCGTTGTTCATGCAGGCCACCAGGGTACAGCATAGGGATAGGCGAAATGTCGGTGTGAGTACGACCCCCCCCCTCCGAATGGGGTCCACGCCACGACCCCCCCCTCCCCCCCTCCCCAGAGAAGAAAGTACGACCCTCCCTATGTGTTTCACACAACGATGCTGTACCCTGCAGGCCACCCTCCCGACACCATATTTCCAACTTCTATACCTGATCGCGGACCGTGCCTTTAAGAAGTGATAAAGTCTACGTCTTGATGAATTCCTTTTTGGGATGTGACACATCTCTACTTCCATTTACAATGCCATTCGCAGTGGCTTATTGAGTACAACGTGCCTATACAATGATTTGTCCCGGCCTGTCGGTGTTCAGTACAGTGCTCATATTTGCAGACGAATAGGATGTTTACGAAAAGGCAGTTTACCGTCCCGCAGGGCAGGTTTGGTTAGGCTGGGCGTCAACACCCTATTCGTCTGCAAA